TCGCTATACCAAGATTTTGTTCCAACCTATGAGTCTTGTTCGACAGCAGCTTTTCTGAAAGGAAGGACTGAATGCATGCGGTGAGGAATAGTTTAATTAATTTATTAATTAATTAAATTTCTGATAAATTCTTAATCTACAATATTTTCTGCTTCTACCCCTTCAACTGAATATTGGGATTTGCTTTTTGCTCATCTTGAATTCCATTTTCGACACCTTCCATTTTGCGACTTTTCGGATGTTATAACACCCGTTTCCTCGTTAAAAAAGTTTTGTTGCTGGTGCTACAGAACTTCTTGTGCTTTCTCTACTAGTATGCTTCATCTCATGGCTGTAAAAGGCTTCCTATCCTTGGTTGCATCACTATGCAGGATTTACCACGTTCAATACTGTTTCAGCTCCGCAACCGCCGCGACAAGAGAAGCAACATTAGCATTGCTTTCAGGTAAGACTGAGAAAGCGGGGGATTTGTTACTACAGTGTTCAAACACACACAGTCAACTAGTGAAGGAGGCTTCAATGGGTAAGTTCTTATCTTTTCAAATGCATCTTTTCATATCTGCTCAAAAAGTAAGGTGTAACTTATTTACTATGTCATGTTTTTCATGAAATAATAACTAACATGTTGCCTGGTGAGGAGTATACCTTCATTTACATGTAACAGAGCAAGCTGTTCTTTCTGAACGATTTTCTAGTAATTTCCATGAGAACTAAATTGAACTTTTCTCGATCTTTCCTTTATCATTTATATGCCTTGTATCCACCCTAAATCGTGTATATTTATTATAGTCTGCTAGAATTAACTCCCAAGAATATGAGGAAGCTTTTTTTGCTTCTATGTCTTTTTCAAATTTTACTTTCTTTTTTGCTTCAGCGCTGTACTTTTGCGCAGCACCTATTGTTTTGACAATCTCTAATTGTGTGTTGGTGCCTTTGAAATACAAATCATGGCTGATTGGGATCTAGCAGTGGTTAAAGGTAGCAGTGTATAATTTAAGAACGTTTGACTCTACTCCATAGCGTGCTCACTTGGATATTTTTGAACTTGCACCCGGACATATGTAAATTGCTCTCGAGTGTTTGCTCAACATCAATCACATTCACCCAACATCTCATTATTACAGCATATTTTATCACTGTGCTATCTATTGATCCTTTGACATCTACTTTTGTAGGACAAGGATTTGACAGGCATTTGCTTGGACTAAAAATCACGGCTGAACGTCTTGGAAAGAAAATCCCAGCTGTTTTTGAGGTTAGTTCAACATTTATAATCTTTCTGAGGTAAAAACCATTTTTCAGGATCCTGGTTTCAATCGTATGAGCCATTTCGTACTGTCAACAAGTACTTTGTCTACGAACACAATTGTCTTTGGTGGTAGAGTTCTATTCTATCCATCTTCTCAGTGTATCTAATAGCAACTCTTATCGCTGCAGGTTTCGGCCCCGTAGTAAAGGACGGTTTCGGTATCGGATACAACGTGTCATCGTCCCGAGTAGGAGCTGTTATCACCAGTCATAAGGTGCGTCCTACACTGATGTTGACCACATTCTACGTTGACATCTCCGTTTACTTTTCTTTGTGCATGCGTAATTTCCTTACTTCTTCTTAAGCTTGTGGATTCAGAGAAACCGCGATGCAAAGGACTTCGGCAGGGCTTTAGAGAAAAGTTTGGACACCTTGAAGAATTTTGTGAACAAGCAATGACTTATTCTGACCTCATCTATCATTGTGTCTTAATATCATAGCTGCTCAAGTTTGACTGGTCCCTTCGTTTTAATTGAAAAGTTGTTTAATTTATATCAGTGAGTGTCCCTTCATCATGAAATTACTGACTAATTGTACTAATTAAGATGAGTAAAGTAGGTAATCATTTCTTTTTTGACAAGCACAGGTTTTATCGGGTTAATCATCAATGTCACATTACATTCATAAATGTTAGAAGCGTGTTTTTCTTGATGTTTGAATGGATTTACACCGAATGAATCGATCATTACTAGGTATTCATGTCAAGTAAGTCTATAAACGTCTGTTCTAGAACTTCTACATGACTATAGAGTGATAGCACTTCAAAAATTTGGGTGAGTGAGACATAGTTTTCCTTTCTTTCCTTTCGCTCTTTCTACGAATTATTTTCAGTTTATATATCTTGCTTTTCAAATTACTAATCAGTTCCATGTGTACATATTGTAAACTAACTCTTGAAAATCCTTAGGTTTTCTTCGAGCATTTGAGCTTTACTTATGCCGCAACATTTTGATCCTGTTTGGTGTTAGACAACCTTCCCTTATCTTTTGCTGTGAATTCTTGTGATGATTAGAATGGAAATTTAAACATTGACATGAGAAAATCTGAGCAATAAGATGTATCTAATTCAGCTGAGAGTTGTATTTTCGATGTCCAATGCACCAGTCAGGAAATAAGAGTTTTCTTGAAATGTATTTCTGAAACATTATGATTAGATCAGTTTAGTTTCTATAAACTCCGACAGAGAATGGGGGAGCAAACTCAAAACCGTCCCGACATGGTTGAAGCTGCAAAGAAGTTCATGTTAACGCCAAAAGTGCGCGACACACCTTTTGAGGAACAGC